GAAATGTAACGCCCCTTACCATAATCGCGAGCTTCATCTTTCAAAATAAATGTAAAGACAGTAAATAATGTCATTGGAATTCCAGATTGTCATAGCAAAGTCAGAATGACCTCCTCTCCTAGGTTCACGAAATGGTCGTCCATAAAATGCATTGCTGTTCTGTTGTAAGTAATCTTAAAGATTCCTAAATGCATCTACTTTCGGAAGGCCAAATAAAGTGCTTTTGCTTTCGCCTAGAAATACACAGTGTCTCCCTGACATGGCTGCTTCAACACTAACTGCGGTTACTGAAACCACGCCTTCTTTCTTTGCGTGAACATTTGGGCGCATTATGCAAATATTTCCACATAGTGAGGTAGATATGTGGGGGCGTGTTAGAACGAGCCGTTTTAGGGGGGCGTGGCAGAGTCTTAACTTTGATAAAGAATATCTCTTTGGTTTTGAGACTTTAGTCTTTGCAACTTTGGGGATCTTATCTATGCACAATCAGCTTGTAACACTCCAAAGAGAAAGGAAAACTTGAAATCGCATCATATGACCCTTTAAAATCCTGAGCATTTGGCTGTAAAATAGACTAATGAGTAGATAGATAAGTTAACCTGTTTGTGATGATGTTTAATGTTCCTGACGATCTCTGTAGTCTCATTGATCTGGTTGCCAGATCTACGAAACAATCAAAGCAGTGTTTACATAAATAAATCGTCTTACCTTAAGATTGATGAATTACCTGCAGAGTTTAGCTCCAAACCCTGATCAAACTTACCTACCTGTGATTTTCTAGTGATCTTGAAGACGTTGATTAGCTTGATCAGGTGTGTTTGATCAGGGTTAGAGCTAAACTCTGCAGTGCAGTGGCCCTTCAGGACCAGATTTGAAGAGCCCTGCTTTAAGGTCTACTCTTTCAGCGCTACTCTTTCAGTGTGGTTTTGCAGTCCATGCAGCACTGAAAAAAAAATTGACAAAACAGTGGATCGTGCACTGAATATTGGCTGTACGTTATTTATGAATCATGATGCCTTTGTAACATACACTTGTTCCACATCAAAAGGTTTTTTTTTTTTTTTACTTTTCATCTCCACTCATTTTAAATCACCATTCAGTGCTATGACTCAGTGGAAACATAATGATATTACAGTTTTGGCCACTGATTTGTGGTTTGGTAATTAAAGTTATTATAGAGAATGGCTGATGCTTTTCTCCTTTGTGATGATTTAATGGAAAATACCTCACAGAGCAGTACAAAGTCAAGAAAGACTGCATCTTGGAGGCTTCCAGATGGACCATCGGCAAAAAAAACAAGAACCAATGTATTCCACTATGAATGAATTAAATGTATATTCTCTGAATTGTGTGTCCATTTAAATGACTCTCTACTCAAAATTGTGTGCACTGTAAAGCATTTTCTTATATAATATTTTTTACGGTAAAAACTGCTGTGGCCAGAAATTCACCAAAAATTCTGCAACAATGTTTTTGGTATTATGGTATTATCTCACAACTTATAACTGTATATTTCATTAAGTGATATAATTTTAATACCAATCTACTTCAACTAAGCTACCAAAATCTGTTTTTTTAACTTAAAATGCACTAATAACCACCACAATAATACAGGTGGCACAAAGATGTCCAATATAGGCCTAATTGAAATAATAATGTATATCTATAAGTCAATTTCTACCTTACATTTTGAATAAAAAATATATTTTATAAACTAACAATAATGGAAACTATAGGCTGGAAAACTTGTTCAAATGTTATAGAATGATAGGACCTAATGACTGCAGGTATAAGGACAGTAAATGAAAAATCCAATTCAGAATGCTTTCATTTATTTCAGAGCTGGTTGGTTGGTTTAAGAGTTTGAACTCTTTATTAATGAATAAACTTATTTAAATCAATAGCTTTACAATTTCATTGCATTGTGGGGATATTATGGTGAAACAAACAAGAAAGTATTACCGTTTTACAAAAACTAATCATGTGACATTTCCCTTCACAAGTTAGGAGACAGTTCAGAATGTCCTCTATTGTAAAATAAAGATAATTTTACTGTAAAAGTACATATATTAAGTCTATAACATAGATTTGCAATTCCTAAATTACAAGTTAATTTACACTTTTAACTTCCAAATAAAACTAAATGCACTAACCTACTAAATCTAATATACATTTTTACATACTGTAGTAGCTTACAGTTAAGCCGTTTAAAAGTTTTCACTGCATTTCTTTTTACAGTACTGGCTTTGCATTAATGTTTGTCTCTTGCTGCTGATGATTTGACATTGCAACTGTTCTCACATCCTCCCGCACACTATGATGATGACTAAGGTGACAGTTCTTGCTGAGAGCACCGAAAACGTCTTTCTCTGCATCATCCTTCGAAAGTTTGTCCGAATCTCTGATTTCATCTTCAATGGTTGGGCCACTGTTTGCTGTGTCCAGGCTCTGGCACACAATTTCTACTGCAGTGCTGGCACACTTACACTTGCTCTTGGAGGGGAGAGAGGCCTTGACCACATGACAGGTGCCGTGATGGTTGCTTGTGTTCTGGATCTGCTGATTGGCCAGTTCTTTGACTTTCAGACTTGTGATGGAGCAGCAGCCCCAAGACCGACAGCAATGCAGACTGAACAGCTTGGCCAAAATCCAGTTCAACATCTGTTTGATGATGATGGCGGTGACGCTGAAAAGAGAATAGGTGCAGCTCACTCCAAGGATAATCATTAAAGAGTTGGCTATCTGGTAGACCCAACGTGCTTCATAGTGGGCCTTCTGTCCGCTCACCATGTCCCCGAAACCCATGGTGCTGAAAGCCACGAAGCAGAAGTACATAGACTCTAGGTAGCTCCAATCCTCCATGGCTGAGTACAGACCTGATGCTCCGCAGTTCACCAAAATCGCAACTGTTGCCAAAATGAGGGTTACATAGTAAACAGAAGGTTTCCAGTCCTCCTGCTCATCTCCATGTTCCAGTTGTGTGTTCAAATTGGTGACAATGTGTCTTTTACTCAGCTTAATTGTTTGTTTTTGCTTTCGACATCTGCGTGTGAGGAATGTAATCAGCATTATCATGTGTTCCAGAAAGAGGTTGAAGAACAGAATGGTGGCTGCGCAGCCTATCAGCCCATAGAAGATAAGGAAGATTTTTCCATTGAGTGTAGCGGGTGCTGCCATCCCGAAACCTGATATGGACACAGAAATGTAGCTAAATTGAGCATTTTGCATGCATTATACTAAACAGAACATTATCATCCATTGGCGTGGATGATAGTTATTGTTGTTGGTGTGAACGGGCCTTAAGTGTTCGAGCTCTTGGTTGGAAGGATTCTGTTCAGCTTTCAGTGTTTTTATCAGCTGAAAAAAAAAACTGTTCTGAAATGATTCCAGCGATATCGTTCGATATATGTGTTGTTATCATTATAGTGACTTATCAAAGCTTTATACTTGTCTAATTTACTTCACAAAAAAAGCCAAAGCTGAATCAACTGACGTACAAAAGTGTTTTGTTTTTGAATGAATCCGTGTTTTGAAATGATTCAGTTGAGTGAATGATGATTCAATAACTCATTCATCAGTTGTTGCTTAGCGTTCGAATGAATCAGTGTTTTTGAAAGAATGAAAGAAAGATCCATTGACTTAATCATAAAAACAGTAGCTTTTCGTCATCTACTCGCATAATGAAAAAGTCACTGTAAATTCACTGTAAAACTTACAGACTAACAAACCTGTCTGGAATGTGCAAAAATGGGCTGAATAGCATACTTCTCCACTACTTCTGCTATATAAAACTACTATGAGTAGAAATACTAAGAGTGGTATGGTAGTATGCTATTCTGGATTCAGTCTGACAAGTGTAATGACAGACTACAAACAATGAAGATTGACAGAGTGAAATTACAAGAAAAAAGGGAAACTATAGTACAGTTCTACAGCAGTTCTTTTCATCAACCTTAAGTTGCTCATTCGATAATCTTGAGGTAACCATTTGTTGTGTTATGCAAACAAGATGACATTTACAGATTCCACTTTGTGTACTGACACACTACACATTAGATTGGACATTGTACATTTTAAGAGCTGTTTACATGTATCCATGATTGCAAGCTATTATGATGTGAGCTCTGGGTATTTGAATCAGGAAATTGATTTTCTTGCTATTTCACCACTAAAAGATAAGCAGGTAATAAAAGAAGGATGTTAAAGATTGTTATCATGTGTAAACATTTATTCTACCCTGAAATGTATGAACATGTTGATTCTTCCAAAGGCTAATGACTGTATGTAGTCTATAAGTGGGAGAAATATTAGTATGCTTCTTCAAACACAGGGAAAAATGTATGGAGAGAAAAGGTCACGTAGGAGGAATAAACAAACTTTCTGTCAAGAAAGAGAATTGCGTGAGTGGCTAATTACAACATAATTACTAAAATTATAATTACCACATACGCCCAACCACACAGATGAATTATTTACAACCTGCTGTTATTTTTAATAACTAAATAAAATTATTAGATTATATGGAAAGTAAAAAAAAATATATATATATTTTGTGTTTTTATACTTCTGAATGTAGATTTTGAGAAAAGGCTGGATAGACAGATAGACTATCAGATAGATAGATAGATAGATAGATAGATAGATAGATAGATAGATAGATAGATAGATAGATAGATAGATAGATAGATAGATAGATAGATAGATAGATAGATAGATAGATAGATAGATAGATAGATAGATAGATAGATAGATAGATAGATAGATAGATAGATAGATAGATAGATAGATAGATAGATAGATAGATAGATAGATAGATAGATAGATAGATAGATAGATAGATAGATAGATAGATAGATAGATAGATAGATAGATAGATAGATAGATAGATAGATAGATAGATAGATAGATAGATAGATAGATAGATAGATAGATAGATAGATAGATAGATAGATAGATAGATAGATAGATAGATAGATAGATAGATAGATAGATAGATAGATAGATAGATAGATAGATAGATAGATAGATAGATAGATAGATAGATAGATAGATAGATAGATAGATAGATAGATAGATAGATAGATAGATAGATAGATAGATAGATAGATAGATAGATAGATAGATAGATAGATAGATAGATAGATAGATAGATAGATAGATAGATAGATAGATAGATAGATAGATAGATAGATAGATAGATAGATAGATAGATAGATAGATAGATAGATAGATAGATAGATAGATAGATAGATAGATAGATAGATAGATAGATAGATAGATAGATAGATAGATAGATAGATAGATAGATAGATAGATAGATAGATAGATAGATAGATAGATAGATAGATAGATAGATAGATAGATAGATAGATAGATAGATAGATAGATAGATAGATAGATAGATAGATAGATAGATAGATAGATAGATAGATAGATAGATAGATAGATAGATAGATAGATAGATAGATAGATAGATAGATAGATAGATAGATAGATAGATAGATAGATAGATAGATAGATAGATAGATAGATAGATAGATAGATAGATAGATAGATAGATAGATAGATAGATAGATAGATAGATAGATAGATAGATAGATAGATAGATAGATAGATAGATAGATAGATAGATAGATAGATAGATAGATAGATAGATAGATAGATAGATAGATAGATAGATAGATAGATAGATAGATAGATAGAACGACAGATAGATAGATAGATAGATAGATCACTTTCACTGACTTTCATTAACTGTTCCCTCCTGGTGGAATGACTTGCTCAACTGAATCCGAGCAGCTGAGTCCTTAACCATCTTCAAGAAACAACTAAAAATACATCTGTTCCACCTTTATTTGTACTGTGTTAGGCTAACCGAGACTTGTCAATTGCACTTACATATTGTTAGACAGACAGACAGATAGACAGGTTCAAACTTACCAATAGTGCTGGCTACAGTTGCCACAAAGTAAAAAGCTCCTGAGAAGTCCCATCGAGGTCTCCGTGCTTCTATCCGAATCCCGGCGGCAATGGCCTCCTCATAGTGTCCCAGCAGCTCACGCAAGTCCTCTGAGGGAACACGGTGATCCTGAACAAATTCGGCCAGCTGTCTGTTCCATCTGCAGTGTGCCTCCAGTTCTGAAGGTCTCTCAAGGGCCGAGAAGACAGCAGCCCCAAATAAAGCGTAGAAGACAATCACAAACCATAAAAGGAATATTCGGGCGAAGTCGATGTTGATATGAGACCAAATACAGCCACAGCCTTTCCTGGACCTACCAGAATGATCTGACTGCACCATTAATATTGAGAAATAAATTGTAAACAGATGACACAACCAGCAGGTCTTTGGTTGCATTACTTCCAGACAACAATCCAAACCTCAAATTGAATGTTTATTACCTCTGTCTCTATTATCACACTGTTCTTAAAAGTGACTGTAGATACTGATCCACAAACGGTTCAGATTCAGAAGCTGCTGCAGAAAATGCTGTGCTGGCTGCTAAGTAAAGCAAAAGACAAACATGATCATCCTTGCCCTCCCCACAGCTTATGTACACTTGACATAATTTATTGCCCTGCGGTCATTACTGTCACACATGGTTAGCCGATATGACTGAAGATCTGGGCAAGAGCTTGTAGGTTCAAACTTTGCAAGAGGTTTTCTCTGAACCTTCACTAAACTTCAGTGCCTAAACTTCAGAGGGACTGTCTCTTTAATAGAAAGCCTCAGCTAATTGATGAATTAAGAACTATACAGTTAATAAACTAGCTTGTAAGAAGGTCCAAGCAGCTTACAAATGTAATATTTGGTAAAAAAAAATAATAATAATGTTTTGAAAAATGTCTCTTATGCTCTACAAGGCTGCATTTATTTGATCAAAAATTCAGCAAAACAAAAATATTGTGAAATATTATTACAATTTAAAATACGTTTTATACATCCTGTGATGGCAAAGCTGAAGCAGCCATTACTCGATTCTTCAGTGTCACATGATCCTTCAGAAATCATTCTAATATGCTGATTTGCTGCTCAAGAAACATTTCTTATTACTATTAATATTGCAAACAGCTGGAAAAGCAGGAAACTGTGATACATCTTTTTCAGGATTCTTTGATTTAATTGATTTTTAATAGAAATCGTTTGTAACATTATAAATGTACATACTGTCACTTTTGATCAAATTAATGCATCCTTGCTGATAAAAGTATTATTTCCTTTAATTAATAAAATATTAATATGCAATATTTTTTATTCACCATTTAAAGTAGATACTCCTATATGACACAATAGGCTATTTAACTTTGAAAAACAATTGCATAACAGTACAGTATTTCTGCAATTATAATTTCTGTCAATTAATTTTGTCCAGCATTAAACAGTCTGTGTAAATGTAGATAGACAGACAGACAGACAGACAGACAGATAGACAGATAGACAGATAGACAGATAGATAGATAGATAGATAGATAGATAGATAGATAGATAGATAGATAGATAGATAGATAGATAGATAGAACGACAGACAGTCAGACGGACGGACAGACAGATAGAACGACAGACAGATAGATAGATAGATAGATAGATAGATAGATAGATAGATAGATAGATAGATAGATAGA